ATGATATTATTTGTTATAATATTGTTATTATTATATTATATTATATTATATCATATTATATTACGAGTTTAAATTTTAGATAGAGAATGTTGTAAATTTTAAATTTTATTAAGAGTATTATGGGTGTTATGAAAGTTTCATTAATTGTACTATGTTGATTCTAGCACAGTCTAAAAGCTAAAGATGTCTTTAGGCTGTTTCTGATTTTGACTGTAGATTCTTGAAAAATTCTTCAAAAAGCACTTTTAAGGAGATTTACTAAACACTAAAATCAACTTCTGCTACAAGCAGAAGCTATTTTTGGAAGGAAAAAGCAATACCAAACTAAGCCAGTATCACACACACACCAAAAAGGGAAAAGAGAGAGAGAGAGTTGAATAGTTTGTAAAAATCAACCATTAAATCCTAAAATATAAGGGGCTGTTCTTTTGGAGTATAACTTGAGTGTAGTTTTTGAGTTGAATTTGAGTTATAACTTGAGTTGAAGTTAGAATTTGAATAAAGTTGAGTAAAATTGAATAAAGTTGAAATTTAAAAGAACGTGAACTTGAATAAAGTTAAAACTTGAGTTGTCTTTTTCTGAGTTTTTTGGACAAAATAACATGCCCTAAATTTCTCTACATACCAAAGCAAGAAAGTACAAGTAGCCGTACAATATGGGTTAAGAAAAACATGCATCACAAACGTAACTCTTCCCACCACATCTTATTGTTTCAAAAATAGAAAGGACCCTCCAAAAGGTTACTTGGGCTCACCATTCAACTTAGCCACAGAAGAAAGCTAACAATTGATTATCTTCAGTTTCAACAAAATTGTAAACTACAACCTCTGTAGTCCAGTATAAAAGCAAACTTAGCTCCAAGAACACGAGGGACTTCACCTAAATTATGCTGCAGAATAAAAGGCCATACAAAATCAAGCATATTAATTCAAAATATACTGCCAAGTTCTTTTATTAGAAATTGTGAGTTTTGAGAATATAATATGATAATTGGAATTCATACAAGGTAATAAATAAATAAATAAAACTCTTATAGAAAACTGTGAGTTCTGCGAATTCTTTCCCATTCTTAGCGCTTCTAACTTCCTTGACTTGTGTACCACATCCGTAACATAAAGCAATATAAAAATACTTATATTATAGGAATCAGAAAATTTATATATATATATATAGTAAACTGTGAATTTAATCAGTTGTAAGATGATCAACTTGCACAACGATCAACGTAACAACTTATGCAACAATGCTATGTCGTTTGTACATTGAATTGGAATTTGTAGACTCGTGAAAACACATCATAAATTTTAGGTGATAAAAAAAACGTAAAACATACGATTGAACAATAATTCAGAAGAGTAATATTAGGACATCTTGGATTTCTTAATTTCTCCCTGATGTTATTTAACTTCTTTCATAGAGAAATAATAGGACAAGAATGCTTCATCCTTTGTACATTGATATGAAATTCCTGTGAAAAAAAAGCGTAAATACTGGTAAGAAATGTAAAACATACAATTGAACACAAGAATTCAGAAAAGAAATAAACAGCAAGAACTGAGTAGAATTTTCTTCGCACCTAATATAACAAGGTAAAAATGTAATGAGAAAGCAATCAACTGAATTGTAAACTTACCCACTTATTTTTTCTTTTCTATTATGACGCTTTCTGCAACACTACTCTACTTTTATTTCAGACACAAAAAAATATCAATTTTATTCTAGATGTCACCACTTCTAAAACTTTCAACCACAAATGCTGATGAGTTTGTGTCCATTTTAAATAACTGGATAACAATTGTTTGAAAAAGGTGGAGAAAAAGATAGATAAACACTATGATACTGGGTAAGAAATAGTTAGATATTTACTCTGTAACTTGGAGAAATAGTTAGATATTTACTCTGTAACATGGAATTTCTCTTATCATACCCACATCTGTCTCTGCCACTTTAAATTTGAGTACCGAAATCCGCTGAAACTAAACCTCTTCAAACATGAATGTTCAAATCCTCAAAAGTTGGAAAATTTAAAGAACCTTACTAAGGATATATTGATATTGTCTAATTTATTTGGATCTTGGGAGAAACTGCAGAACAATAGGAAGAAAAGATAACAAAATACCATCAGAGAAAACAACACATGCAAAGAATCGAAGGGGCAGTGTCCAAACTCTAAATCTAAAACGAGAAAGATGCAATTAAAAAAATAATTCTTGCAAAACAAGAAGAAGAGGAAGAAGAAGAAGAATTAGATACAGTCAGTAAGCAACACATCTAACTAATTAAAACATGTAGTGGAAAGACCGACTTCTGAAAAATGAAAGCACAAATAAAAAATGGTAAACCAACATAGAAGAGGGTATAAGAGGAAATAAAAAAGCCCCCTTCATGCCCTTGATAAAGGAGTTGGGTTCATGAGATTGGAATCAGTACACCTTTATATATTGTGGACGAATTTAGACTAATTATGACCTATTTATGGTAATTTCTTAAATCA